TACCACAATGAGGTAATGCCTATGTCGAAATTTTGCGGCAGGAGCAGCTGCTAAATATCGGGTTGCGATACTACAGTAATTTCATGGAGGTGCACTGCCAGCTTATAAAAATTAGCGAAGTATCCACGTTCAGGTTATCTCTCAGTGCCAGAGTTCGTAAATATGAAGAAGGCTTTGCCTTTGAGACTGCTGTTATGCCAGGTTCTATTCAATCCCATCCTCGTGCTACTCTTTAATGTCGGGGATTTGTCGGCTTCGCTAATAATGTCTACAAATCTTATACTGTTTGTTTTATACTGGGAAATCCCCCAGCGAGACGGAAGATTCCATTTGAACGCATGTATGGAGTCATGCAGACGCAGGGAGCAGAACTGAAACGCTAAGGGCTATACCAGTGGCCAGAAGAAATGCAACACGTAGTGCACAGAGCATCAAGCCGAGTAAGTACCTGGTATGATCAATGAACGCTGTGCGTTCACGTGAATTGAGCACACGATCGTTGCGAATCTTAAGGACAACCAGAAAAGCGACTGCTATTGACGAAGAGATAAACACCGTGATCACAATAACAGCTGTTACAATCATCAGCGTATTCGAATCTGAAAATAGCTAACCCGAACTGAATTAGAATTCCAAAAACTTTAAATCGATAATGTAGAATTCCAGAGAAACATTATCCAACTGTTTTTATTTTTCATAAAAATTGTGTGACGTCGTCTAGACTTTACCCTATTTTCAGCATTCCGTCTTTAACATTAAGGATTTATTTCTGCATATAGGTGCTGTGAAAGATCTCGAAACTGTTAAAAGAGCTGTATTTGCTATCAGTGATTGGTAGATGTACTAAATCAAATAACTTCTCGGGCATGACATTAAAGTAGTACTGGAAGAAGGATAAGAATATTACCTGGGAGAGCTATTAATTCAATGATGTCGTCCCACTGTAGTGGCTGCACTGGCAACAAAACACCGTGCTGATTCTGAAGATTCAACTCGCCGTACTCGATATCCTCCTTGATGATCAACGATATTTCCTCGGCGCTGATCGGCCATTCCTCCTCCTCGAAAGGAACTGTCACAGTGAAGTTGAAGACAGTACCTGCAGGAGAGCGCAGAATTCATCAGTTCGATTTGCTGAGTGAATCGGAAGATAAAGGCCCTAGAGTCTGAAATGATAAGCACAAGGAATACCTGGAGCAATCACGGGGTTCTTGATTCTGTACTGGCTTATGCCAACTGTGTCGGCGATAGACTGGGCCCAGCGACGAGCGGTGCCAGTAACATCGTTCCCAACAACGCTTGCGTAGGAGCTGCTGATGTGCAAGCACATCTTTCGGGCGTTCTCGTCTTTCCTCATCGCTGAATTTTTGCCACACTTTAGAAGATTAAGAAAGTAGCTGTGAGGATAGCACGCACTGTCAAGGCCAGACTTTTTAATTTTTTTATTTTAAAAGAACGAAGAACGGAAGTCGAAAAGGTCAACGGGGAAAGAGAAGAGAAGTGTTTCTCATGAACACACAGAATAAAAAGGCAATTCTGTAGCAAAAACATCAAATATCACTTTCGCTACTTATCAGGTGAGAGCTAAGCACTGGCCTATTAAGCTTCCGACAATAACGTCGCTTTGTCTCAAAAATATGCGTGTTCGAAGTATTTTGTCCATTTTCATTCTTTTTTATGCGTTTTTGCATATATGTGAATTGCAAAAACGCATATTGGGAAGAGGCTTTGTGTGTGTGTGTGCGTTTGTGTGTGTGTGTGTGTGTGTGTGTGTGCGTGTGTATCTGTGTGTTCGCACTTTTTGTCACCCACTTTCAACTCGAGACCCAG